TCGCAATCTTAAATACATTATTTTAAAAAAAAACTCCTGTTTGTACAAAAATAATTTTGTTATATAGGAATAAGGTGTCACTGCCAGCACTTGAATTTGAACCTAGATCGTCAGTGAGCAAACGCAGGCGATCCCATTATTGAATTAAGTAGACCACGTTCTATCTTCTATTAATATACGGATCGCTCTTTCTATTCTATTCAATATACTATTTTCTATACGGATCACTGTTCAGTGGTTACTATTTGAGGGAGTATTATAGAGCAAGTACTATTAGTGCGAGTGTTATACAAAGGCGTCTGATACCAGCATTGTTCAACGGCGTTACTATAGTTGTATCTGCTATTACAAAGTCTCTACTACAACGAGCATTACGAAAGTGATAACGTGTATTCATTGGCATTACAAAAAATTTATATCTACCAAATATATTATATCTGTTCAAATGCATTCGTAAGTTAGAAAACTTATGTCGTTAGTAATATTCTGCTTTCTGCTATTTTACGAATATTATTTTTTTTTTTGTATTAACAATTTTTTGGAGAATAACAATGTTTTTTTTTCAGATACAAGTTTTCCTATTTTAGCTTGTGGGAGGAGATGGATTCATACCTTACACAACAGTATATGAGTGTAAATGAATGTCACGAGTCCGACTCGAATTCGAACTCGGCTCTGTGGTTTCACATTCAGAGCTGTTATATATTACACCAGCCGTACATCCACAGAACTATAAAAAAAACAACTTATTTTTCTCTGCTTGAAGGACAGGCTAGCAGCTAAAATAGTTCTGTAATATTCTAGTCGATTGCACGATTTACATTGTTCAAGACTGTTGTTCTCATCTTTGTTGTCATATTGACGACGTTTCGGCCATTTTACAGTCCGGCCTTCTTCAGATGATTGGAATTTCGATCCGATCTCTTTATTGTTACAAATTCATGACGGTCGTCTTCGAGTATAGAATCCAGAGGTTGGCAGTGAATATTTCGGAGACAGTAGGAAAGCGTAGTTCAGATTCGCAGTGGATATCGCAGCAAAGTAGCAGAGCGCAGTTCTTCCTTCTGTCATGTTCGACTGACATGTTGGCTCTGGTCATTCCGGTAGGATAAACAAAGATGGCCGCCTTTATACACGACGGATACAATGTTCTGCGGCTTCTGATTGGTCAACCTTCTATTGGTAGACTATAAAGGGAATTAAGTCATTTTGACTAACTCACTAGTTATATACATATATATACAAAAAACTGTAACACCCCCCTTATTTTGGGTATATTATGGAATCTTCCTTCAAAATATTAATAAAGTCAATAAATACTTTAATTTAAAAAAATTATTATTATTTTTTTTTAAACTTTTTCTTTTTAAAGTTAATATTAATATGTAACAAATACTTTCGTAGTCCAAATTTTTTTTTTTTTTTATTTTTCTTGAAAATTAATATACACAAAAATTAGTCATATCTCTTTGTTCACAGTTAAGTACTTCGGGTTAATAAAATATGAATAACAATATTATAAGTTTGGATTGTGATCACAACAAAAAAAGTGGAAAGAATTGTTACTTTATCTCTTTATTTCGTCCAGTGGTAGATCAACTATACAAGGTTTTTTAGTTGTGGACAGGTAATGAATTCAGAACTTTTTGGGTGAGCTCGCCTGGATTACTTCAATCAAAGCTTTTATCCAAAGGGCTATGTATCATTGGGGATAAAAACTTGGAGAGTCGAGTTACTAAGGAAAATAACTGAATCTGAGTTATCCGGTAGAGGCATGGCACTTGGAGCTAGAAAAATCTAATTCGGTGGACGAAATAAAGGGTAGAGTTCGAAATTCCAATCACCTGAGGAAGACAGGAGCGTACAATGGCCGAAACGACGTTAATATGGGAACGAACACGAGGACAACAGTTCGAACACTGTAAATAGTGTAACTAATTACAATTCCTCATCTCAGAAATATAGACAGATATAGAAGAAGGCCGGAGCTTACAACGGTCTAAACGTCGTGAATATGGCAACGAAGATGAGGACAACAGTCCGAACAATGTAAATAGCGTAAATAATTACAATACCTCATCTCAGAAATATAGACAGATATAGAAGAAGGCCGGAGCGTACAACGGTCTAATCGTCGTGAATATGGCAACGAAGATGAAGACAACAGTCCGAACAATGTAAATAGTGTAAATAATTACAATACCTCATCTCAGAAATATAGACAGATATAGAAGAAGGCCGGAGCGTACAACGGTCTAAACGTCGTGAATATGGCAACGAAGATGAGGACAACAGTCCGAACAATGTAAATAGTGTAAATAATTACAATACCTCATCTCAGAAATATAGACAGATGTGACACTATTTAGGGTTGCGTGAAAAAAAAAGGCGAGAATTAAATTAGGTGATAAGAATCTATCACGAAAGACACTGAGCGATGTTATTTTTTCTAACAAAGAAAAGTGGTAAAGATTTTATTTTCATTAGCGAAAAAAGTAGGATCTCAGACCTGGTGGATTTAATTTGATTTATGTTACGGGGCGGCGAATAAGATATAGCCATCTGCCCATGGCAATAATGAAAGTTTCAAATTGGTCGAGTGGCCTACGGGACAGAATGCTAAAAGATAAAAATCAATTAGGTCATGCTCTGACCGTGAAAAATGTCCGCTGGACCACCCACAAGTTAGAAAGAAAGAATGATTAAACCATTAACTATCGTCGGAGATAACGTTGGTTTGAAAGAAAAACACCTGTTTTATTGTCCAAACCTGGACATGATAGAAATTATTTTATCAGTACGGATAATTGGCCAGCCTCAGTGCTTGTTTGGCGAAAATCTCGTTGACGAATTTCAGACGGCGTTAGGTTAAGATTAGAGACCACACCGCGAGTCGTAGGGGTCTGTTCGAGGAAAAGAAAGAAAAGAAAAAAAAAGAAAAGAAAAGAAGATAATTTTTTTGTCTTTGGGAGATAATTTTGAACTGAGGCCAGTCCGGCCGCACCCACGCTGCTGGGCGTTCATTGGCTGAATGGTGGCGTGAGCGGTAGGCGAAGGTAATCATGTGAAGAAGGAGGAGAGGCCTGTTGACGCCCCCTGAAGGGATCGGTATGAGATGCCACTGTGAGAGAGAGGGGAAGCCTGTTGACGCCTCTGAATGGGATTGGTATGAGATACCAACATGAGAAAGGAAGAATTTGGGAGGACGTTTCCTTTAAACAAAGAAAATTCTTAATGCGGATTTAGAATTATCAAGGATCCTCAAACCCCGACAGGTCCACCCCGGTTTTGGTCGGCGTACATATAAGCAGAGTCGCAGCGAGTGGATGGCAGTTGGAGTTGACTTGCAGTTCAGTTGGGGTTAGAAAGACAGGCAAGCAATTGAGCTGTGAGCTCTGAAACCGTCTCGCAGAAAGCTGACTTAAGATCCACGCATTCTCGACCTCAACTTCTAACCAAGAACAATTTATTTTTGAAGAATGACTTAGACTCACACCACCAAAACAAGTTTTAAGAATATCGCCTGAAGATACACCAAAACCAGTTTCTTAAAAGAGCAATTTGTTAAGACTCGCCTAACAAAAGCAAAGTCACGTAACCCTATTTGCGGTTTGGGAGAAAGATGCAGTCCTGTATTCAGAAACCAGATATAAAATATTGTTATCCTTTTTTAACACATTTGAACTTTTCGAGTGGTTACTTTATTTTCTTTTACATATACTTGTGCGGTATTACCCTTGTTCGAACTCGACTTGCATTACAGCCCGGCGACTGATTGATTTCATCTGCCTAAGATCAAATCACAACGTGGGTAGGTTAGACTAGAAATCAAAACAGTTACTTCGTTAACCAGACGTTGAGGGCGAGCTGGGAACGACAAGGCTGATGCCGAATCTAACCAGATTCCCATCCGAATCAGTAAAGGTTAGAACGTCACATTTGGTGCCGCGACCAATACCAAGTCACACTGGTCGTCGCAGGACAGGATAGGACGGCGACGGCGCGAGGACAGACGGGGTAACGTCACAATTGGCGGCGCGACCAGGACTGCACGGCGCAGCGACCCCGGGGTGACGTCACACAGATATAGAAGAAGGCCGGTGCGTACAACGGTCTAAACGTCGTGAATATGACAACGAAGATGAGGACAACAGTCCGAACAATGTAAATAGTGAATAATTAATAATTATCTCAAATATACCAGATCTAGAATAGAAATATAAACGTCGAATATGGAAGAAAGATGGCCGAACAATGAGCGTAATATAACGGTCTCAGAAATATAGATATAGAAGACGGCCCGGAGCGTACAACGTGAATTCGTCGTGAATATGACAACGAAGATAGGACAACAGTCCGAACAATGTAAATAGTGTGAATAATTACAATACCTCATCTCAGAAATATAGACAGATATAGAAGAAGGCCGGAGCGTACAACGGTCTAAACGTCGTGAATATGGCAACGATGAGACAACAGTCCGAACAATGCAAATAGTGTGAATAATTACAATATCATCTCAAAATATAGACATATAGAAGACGGCCGGAGCGCATATAACGGTCTAAACGTCGTGAATATGACAATGAAGATGAGGAAACAGTCCGAACGATGTAAATAGTGTAAATAATTACATACCTCATCTCAGAAATATAGACAGATATAGAAGAAGGCCGGAGCGTACAACGGTCTAAACGTTGTGAATATGGCAACGAAGATGAGGACAACAGTCTGAACAATGTAAAGAGTGGAAATAATTACAATATCTCATGTCAGAAATATAGACAGATATTCTAGTCGTTTGATTTAAATCTTATGCTATTTTTTTAAAATACGTCCTGTAGAAATTAGAGCGTTTCTTATATGCCCGTGTACCCTTTTTTATGGTAAACTCGATTCTTTGCGCTGTTTTGTCTCGTTATTGGTACCGAACTCATCGAGTTCACCACGTCTTTCGTCTACTTGGGGTCAGAATTTTCCAACACCGGCGGCTTCCTCACGGAAAACGTGGCCTGGCTGCAGAGGCGATGAGCGACTGCAGGAGATCATTATGGCGGCGTCGCTACATCACCTAACGCATGAAGCTATGAGTATAATACGCCACTGTCCTCTGTGCGTTATTATGTGGAGCCGAGACGTTCCCTCTCGGGAAGACTCTCGCCTCCTGCGTCCGTAGCTTCGAGCCTCGCACCTTCAGAGCTATCGTGGGCCAGTACTGGTCTGATCTTGTGTTCAATGAGCAGCTTCATCGGTTAATCGGCCTTCTTACGCGCCTTCATTCAGCTCCATGATCGCTGGTTCGGTCACGTACTGCGATGACCTGATTACCCCCACGGCTTACCAAAGTCATCTACCAGTTCGACCCGCTATCTTGCAAACAGGCGACGATCTTGAAGCAAACACCTCAGCTGCACGAAGGACGTCGTCTGCCAGGACATCCAGCTCGGGCTGGAGGAGCTTCCGATGCTCTGCAAAGAGCTTGAGTCGCAAGGTGGTTCTCGGTGGCCCAACGGCTTCATGGTATGGGATTTAGCAGCGGCAGCTTCCGAATACAGGAATGGATTATGATGAACTTTTTCTTTCAAGTGACCATTTGCTTTAATAATACCTTTGCATTGTTAATATTAACCGACTCACATCTAGTTAATTAATTTTTAATAACCTTTATAGATAACGACAAATATATATTATATTAAGAACTATATCACTACCATATTTATGCCATAGAATTATATAATATATACACGAAGAAATATTACTTCAATATTCGTAGTATTATTGATTTTGTTGTAACCTAGAGAATGTTACTAAATAGAATAATCATACGAAGTTTGATAATGGACAATAATATTTAGGACAAGAACAACGCATATAAGATTCGCCAGCCGTGCGTAGAAGAAGTAATCAACTGCTAGAAATGAGTCAAATGAATTCCACAATGAATTTCCAGCGGTCTGATGTGGCACAAGGCCGAATTTAATGTGGGGTACCCGAGCCCGTAACCTCGGCCAAAAATTCCCCGTAGACTCCGTATAAAACGAGGACAGGTAGCTGTTTCCCGAGAAGAGATTCTGCCCTTCGACATAGCCTCGTTTAGGGAACCTCTCTGTCCGGATGCAGAGAGTTTGACCAACAAAGCTAGAGACGAATCCCCGACTGCAGACCAACATACAGTATTTACTACTGTATTTATGTGTAATGCGGACATACCCATTATCGTCCGTAGATATTCTACAACAGATAAATACCAGAAAAATACAATGATAATATATTAAAAATATAATAAAAGTTACATATTTTTTTAATTTTATATTGATTTTGTAGAAATATATATCCATGAAAATGGCCTCTTAGTGTTCCTAGGTGTGGTACCTACACAGTCACACGCTATATGATTGTGATGGTGTTGGCATACGTATTTTATTTCACTGTTTTGATGTTCTTTAAGTCGTATTCGGTAGTTGTATAGCAATGACTTTTAAGGTGAGTAATTGAAAATGTAACCATAATAAATATAAAACGAAAATGAAAAAGTCTAACGTAGCGTAGAATGTGACGACTGTTACTTTGTTTCTTGGAGAAATGACAGAGGATGGAAGATTGTTAAGTTTTCTTTTTGGGTACCTTAGGGAATAAAGAAATTGTCCAACTGAGTATTCGTTTCGAGTGTTTATGGCTAATCTATGAGTCATTATTGGGTATTTTTGATTGCTCGCCTCCACATTTTTTTTTGAGAGACATGCCCTGTTTCAGGATCATTTGGAGACTATCTGTACTAAACATGAGAACATAATGACTTATTCATTCTAAAACCAGTCATCATTGACATAACAATTCGTCTCCCTGTGCCAGGAACCGGTACCATATTTCTGCCATATATAACAACTATCCGAGAAAATATTATTTGAATATTCGTAGTTTTGTTTATTTATACTAGAAAAATATAATGAATATAAGAAAACCTACATCATTTTATATCAATATTGTCGAAATATATATCCATGAAAATGGTCTTTTGGTATCCTTACGTGTTGTTTCCACAGTCACACGCCGCAATAACATGATGGTGTTTACATACGTATTTTATTTCACTGTTTTGCTGTTCTTTATATTGTTTCCTTAGTTGTATAGCAATGACTTTTAACACGAGTGAGTAATTGAAAATGTAACCATAATAAATATAAAAAGAAAATGAAAATGCTTACAAAAAAGAAAAAGTCTGCCGTGGCGTAGAATGTGACTACTGTTTCTTTATTTCTTGGAGAAATGACAGACGAAGGAATCTTGTTAAGTTTTCTTTTTGGGTACTTTAGGCAATAAAGAAATTGTCCAAATGACTATTCGTTCGGAGCGTTTAGCCATTATTAGAACAATTACGATTAAGAGTGAGTTCGATCCTCACTGGAACCCCCCTTTACCCGGGTTACATCTTTTGGAAAATCTGGGGGTTTTAATTGATGAACGTTAGCTTTTTATTTCCGATCAGATACGACAAAAATTTTTCGATCCTCCCCGGAGTCCAACCGGTTTGGCCCATCTGGCTCAAAATCTTTTGACATCTGAGGGGTGTAATGGTTGGAAATTTTCTGCACTTACGGTTGGGGGTGAGTTTGACCTACGGGTCCATACTGGGCTTGTTACATCTGCCGGGGGGAAAATCCTTTTTTGTGAAAATAAAGGGATCCTGTTTTTTCAAGCAAAACCCGGGGCATTAAAGAGATACGATTTTATTTCACTGTTTTTTTTTCAAATGTTTTTTAGTTCAAACAAGACTTTTAACGGGGTAATTAAATAAAAATAAAAAACTAAAAGAAATGTTTAAAAGAAAAAAAAAAAAAGTCACCATGGCGGGGGAAAATTTTGTTTTTTTGTTTCTTTAACACTTTCACAACGGAGGGGATTTTCCGGCACCAGGTTTCCTACCCCAAATTATGCCAGATGCTGTTGCCAAGAAAAATGGCAAAAGATATTTTTTAAAAAGGGTTAAATATTTTTCCCTCTATTGGGTTTTTAATTTAAAGGGAAAAAAGAAGTCGAGGTCGATTTAAAAAAGTCTAAAAGAGAATCAAAAGCAAATTCATTCGCTTTAATAATGGTCTCTATGCGTTTTGGGTAAAATGGATTAAAAGTCAAACACAAAAAACGGTTTGGGGGGGGGGTAGAAGGGCCCGACAAAAAATTCAATTTTATTCAAATAACAATCAATGATAAATTTTTTTATATTTTTTTATATTTCGTCCAATATTTTTAATTTTTAAACGTTTTGTGAAGAAAAAATTTTTTTATTTTTTGGGAAATTTTTCCTTTCATTGATTTTTGGTTTTTTGGGCCCCCCATTTATACGAAATGAAAGGGGCCCTTTTTTTTAAAAA